CATGACTAAGAGTAGGGAGGCTTAAATGGGCACACATGAGATGACCTAGAAAATAATGAAGGCAGGAATATAATTACACTTTTTTTTAAGACTTCAGGGTATGAGACACATTAGGAAAATGAAAGAGGAATATTTGTGGAAACAACAAAAGGAAGTAAAACTAAAGACTCCTTATTAAGACATAATGATAAATTGTTGAAGCTAAAAATAATAAATACGCCTTAGCATTATTTATTTACCAGATTGAAACAAAACATTAGGAAGTAGGTAGCCTTAAAGGGTGTTTTGGTTCTTAAAAAGAACTTATAATTTTAAGGACTAATTATGTTAAGACACCAGTTGATTTAAAAAGGGAACTAAAACACCCTGGGTATAGCCCCTTGGCTTCTCTTTGCTTCAAGACAAGTCTTATTAGAAGGTAAAATGCAGTATTTGTCCTTTTGTGACTGAGATACGTCACTTAGCATAATGTCCTCTAGGGTCACCCATTTTTAATAATATTGCATGAGTTCTTTGTTTTTCAATGCAGCATAGTATTCCATTGTGTGCCACTATTGTAAAGCAGGACTGACCTCAGGGTTGGGAGGAGACTGAGAAGGATGGGTTCAATAATGTATACAGCATTGAAATGGATGAGGAGAAAACTGCTTAAGAGGGAAAATGATTAGGTCTTTTTGTCATGACAGGAGTTCAGAGTAAAGGCTGTATAGTGTAGTGGACCTGGGGGGAAGGATTGTAAAACAATGAAAGAATTTTTCTTTTACTTTTCCATAAGGGTAGTGCACTAGGGGGGAGGGTTGGGAAGGGAGAAAAGTGCAACAATGAATGAATGGATATTCAAAGTCTCTGTAACTTTTCATTGAAATTAATAATAAACTGTTTTAAAAAGAGTAAAAAATAAAAAGAAGGTAAAATGATGCTAGGTTTTGTTGGGAGTTCCTATCTAGATTGAATTTCCCACTTGCCTCATTCTACCATTGTATTCTGGTATAATTTAATGTTTTGTCCAGAATTCAGTGAGTAGATCTGCCTAAAAATGTTTTTAGGACTGATATGATCAGAGAGCATCTATGCAGATAGTGCTACTTTCAGCATTATTACACTACAGACTGCCCAAATCCCAAACAAATCTGCCTTGAGGGAAGTACAATCAGAGTGCTCCTTAGAGACGAGGATGGTGACACTTCATCTCACTTACTTTGGGCATATTCTGGGGAGGAACCAGCACTTGGAGAGTCTGCTGGGAAAGCTAGGTCAGAGAACGAGCAGAAGACCTGCAGCAGGAGCCTGACACAGTGACTTCCGCGATGGACGTGAGCATGACTGACATTGTCAGGATGATGCACGATAGGGCAGAGTTCAGATCTGTTGTTCATGGGATAGCTATGAATCACAGTCAACTTGATGGCACCTAACAACAACAGAAGTTCAACATAGATTCAGACATAGACATGGAATGAGGGATATCATTGTTGATGTCATAGGAATCTTGGCTCAAACCAGAGAATACTCCAGTATCAGGAGTGGCCAATTCCGGGAACAAGACATTATGCTTGGTAAGAATCAGTTAAAAAGAGGCTCTCAAAGGAACAGAATTGAGAACCCAGAAATTAAACTCTTACAATTTCAGACAAATTTATTTTCTACATGGGTATTAGACAACTGGATAACAGTATGTCAAAGGCATTAATTTTGACAACTTCCTCACAGAATACACAAAAATTAAGTCAAAATAGATCACAGACCTAACTGTAAAAACTAAATTATAAAACGATTAGAAGAAAACTGAAACAATAGATCTTTGTAATCTTGGATTAAACAATGGCTTCTAAGTTGTCGCACTGAAAGCACATGTGAAAAAGGGGAGGAAAAGGTAGATTCCATTAATAAAGTTTAAAACTTTTGTGATTCAAGGAACACTATCAAGAAAATGAAAAGATAATCCACAGAATAGTAGAAAATATTTACAACTCATATACCTCATAAGAGACTAGTATGCAGAATAAAGAACCCTCACATCTCATATGTTAATAGTAAAATATAAAAAAACTTAACTGTTTAAATGTCAAAGGCTATAAATAAATATTTTTTCCTAAAAAGGTATACCAGTAAGCACCTAAGAAGGTTCTTGACATCATTAGCTATCAAGAAAATGAAATCAAAACCACGATGAAATACTACTTTATATGAACTGTTGTGATGTGCCGTTAAGTCAGAACCAACTCATAGCTGACCCTCCCAGCAGGTTTTCAGAGGCAGTAAATCACATGGGAGGAGACTGCCCATGATTCTCTCACAAAGCAGCTGATGGATTCGAACTGTGTGCCTTTGAGATTGCAGCACAACCTTTTAACCACTACACCACCATTTAAAAAAAAATAACATAAGACCAACTGTTGCAAGAGTTTGGAGAAACTGGAATTCTCATACATTTCTAATGGGAATGTAAAATGATGCAGGCTTGTTGGAAACAAGTTTAACAGTTCATAAAAAAATTTAAATAGAATTCGCATTTACTCAACAATCCAACTCTTCATTATATACAAAAGTAGTGAAAATATATGTCCATATAAAACTTAGTATATAAGTGTTCATGAAAACATTATTCTTAACAGTAAAAATACAGAAACAACTCAAATGTTCACTGATTGATGAATGTTGTTGTTGTTGCTGTTGTTGTTGTTAGGTGCCATTGAGTCACAGATGACTCATAATGACCCTATGAATGAAAGACCTGAACACTTGTATAACTTTCATTATTTCTCCACATTCATAGAGTTTAGATAAAGTAAATGTGGTAAAACGATGTTGTTTGTTGTTATGTGCCATAGAGTCACTTGCGACTCATAGCGACCTTATGTACAACAGCCCTAAACTCTGCTCTGTCCTGTGCCAATCTCACTGTCTCTGACACTCCCATACCGATTATCCCAGTCACTAAATCAATCCACCTC